TTCCCCTATGTGATGCACATTTAGATTATATTTGACTTTTTGAAACTAATATTGAAGTCTTGTATAAATCTTTGAGTATGTTTTGAGTACATCTGGAGGGTAGAATCCTATTCAACCATTACAGCAGAGAAGATAGACAATGCACACTGGTAAATCTTGCCAAATTGTCCTCCAGTGAAAGGATGTGTAATTTATTTCTGGGTATTCACATCAACAGTATATTCTTAATCTTTTATGTCACTCTAACACCCAAGAAAACTATCTTTATATACCTATTTAAATTGATAGCTATTGGTTTAACATTTCCTCATGTATTACAGTTGGAAAGTTGGAGCGATAGCACAGTGTGTAGTTGCGTTTGCCTTGCACACAGCTGACCCGGGTTCGATTCCTCTGTCCCTCTCGGAGAGCTCTGCAAGCTACCGAGAGTATTCCGCCAAAACGGCAGAGCCTGGCAAGCTCCCTGTAGTGTATTCAATATGCAAAATATGGTAACAAGTCTCACAATGGTGACATTACTGGTGCCCGCTTGAGCAAATTGATGAACAATGGGAGGACAGTGCTACAGTGCTATTATAAATATCTATCCTGGCAGTAAATATTCTTCAACAATCTTCATACACGAACTCTTCTTAAATCTTTCTTTTCCCTTGTCTCACTTCAAGTCTTTTTCATCCTCAAAGCCTAAATTATCCGCCAATAGCAATAAATATTTTCATTTAAAATTGTATGCCTTTTTGTCTTCTGGTCTTCAAGCCATCAGTGAGGAGGAATTGTTTGTGAGAAATATCTACATTTTTCTCTCTTTTTGACTTTATACAAATTCCTAAGAAACAAAAGAGGGATTGATTTTAAATCCCAACCAAAGTTTTTCATACATTGTAGGATCTCTTCTTTGCTCTTTAGTACTGTACTGTTTGGCACCTAGATATTTGTTCTGGAAACCCTCAAAAAAGATCTAGACTGAAACAAAGAGAAACTTCATATAGGCTGGGTCCTTTAGCAGGTGGGGCCTGTTGCTCAAAGAGAGGCACAGGATGTTTGAGGATCATATTTTTCTTTGTTTTGGAAACCTCCCCATTATTCTCCTTTGAGAATGTACTAGAGAATGTTTTCACCAACAGTGCAAGAGAGCACATTTTCTACAACATCCCTGCCAACATTATCTTTTGTCTTTTTAATAAATACCAATCTCACTGGTATCAGATTTTATCTCATTGTCATTTTTGTTTTCTGAGAAGTAAGAGATAGTTAACACTTTTTCACATTACCTACCATTCACATACTCTCTTTGGGGCATATTATTTTGTTTACTCTCTTCAGTTTTAGTGATTTTTTAAAATTTGTTGTTTGCTATGGAACTTTATGGGATCTTTATAAAGCTTTGATGTTATCATTTGATCTGATATATGATGTACATATATTTCTTCAACCCTGTAGACTATCTGGATATCTTTTAATTGAGTTAAAGTTTCTTCTTCTATAAAAATATATAGTTGACTATACTCCCTTTGTTTATTTTTTGGTTTTGTTTTCTTTTCTACTCTATTTATATCACTGTGTTTTATTTGGAGACAATTCATGATCTCTAGGGAGAATGCATACTTGGCTTTTAGAGGTAGAGAGTTGTGTATGTTTATTAATCTCTAGTCTTTTAGTGCCTCAGATAGACCTCCTATTTCCTTACTCATAACCTTTCTGGTTTACCTGTATAAACAGGAGAATGATGTGTGAAGGCCTTCCATTATTATTAAGCTGTTATTCATTACAACTTTATTAGTATAACTTCATTCTGTTATAGTTTTATAAATTTTCTGTTCCTTTATTTTGTGCCAATAGATTGATAATTTAAAAAATTATAAAATCACTGTGGAATACTACATTTGATCTTAGCCAAAAGGAGCTGTGTAATCCCATCAACGACCAAGACCCAGAGACTATAAAACCCAGCTCCGGAAGCGCTTATTATCTAGTTCTTACTCTGGAGAACCTGGCAGGCTACCGAAAGTATCCTGCACACACAGCAGAGTCTGGCAAACTCCCAGTGGCGTGTTCAATATGCCAAAAACCAATAACAATGATGAGTCGTATTCTCCTGAGCCTGAAAGAGCCTCAAATGTGGCACTTTCTAAAATCTCAGGGCTAGGACGAAGGAGAAGCTACTGGTGCCTGCTTGAGAAAATCGATAAACAACAGGATAACAGTGATACTGTGAAATACACCCTTACAAAGCTGTTTATGATTAGACTTCAGTCATATAGTATTCCAGCACCCATTCCTCTACCAGTGTACATTTCCCAGCACCAGTATCCCCAGGTTCCCTCCCATCACCCCCTAACCCAATTTTCTCAGCCTGCCTCTATAGCAGACACTTTTCTTCTCTCTCTCTCTTTCTCTCTCTCTCTCTCTCTCTCGCTCGCTCTCTCTCTCTTTGTCTCTCTTTCTCCTTTTAACACTCAGATCTTGTCTAGCATAATCATTCTCAGTTATTATTTTCATACTGATCTCTTCTCCATCTTACCCACCTTCAACCCCCCCACACGCTTGTGATTAGTTTCAAGTGTTGATCAGTCCTCTTAGCCCCTGATTTTCCTGGCCATGCATATCAACACATTGATAATTTTTTATGTCCTCTTGCATTATTGATCCCTTAACCTGTATGTTATGCACAATACTCTCATTACTTTCTTTACATTAATGTTCTCTGGTCTGCCTCAAGTATAACCTTCACTGTTTTATTAAACCTATCATTTTCTTATACACATTTACTGACCTTTCATTCTCATGCTGGTTTTATTGTCAGAGTTCAAGTGCATGTCTTTTAAGAAGCAGAGTATTGGGTTTTGTTTCCTAATTCATATATTCCCTCTGCCTTGTGATTGGACTTCAGTCCACTAGCATTAAGAGAAATTACTTTTTCTCTTAATGAACTAGACTGCTATGAACTAGAAGAAATGATCTAGAACGAACTAGAAGGAATGAACTAGACTCCTATGAAATTTTTTTTGTGCTTGCATGTAAGTTCTTTTCTTTTTTCTCTCCCCCTCTACACTTTATTCAAACACTGTGATTTACAAAGTTATTCATGGTAATTTGTCATAGGCATTTAATACTCCAACACCAAAAATCAGATGGGCTGGACATGTAATGCAATTTGGAGATGATCACTGGAGTAGAGTCGTTACCAACTGGATTCCACGGGACGTCAAAAGATCACGTGGCCACCCACCTCTAGGATAGTCAGACTTCTTCGTCAAGACCCTGAACAATCAATTTGAGGCTGTTCGTGCTCCTAGAACAAGCACACGCCATTGGACTACACTAGCACACGAAAGGGACAAATGGAGACATTACTGGTGCCCGCTTGAGCAAGTCAATGAGTAATGGGATGTAAAGTGATCAAGTGAAGTGTATACATTAATTAAAAAATAATCATTCCTACCAAATGATATGAGTGCTGGTCTACAAATTGCAAAATACCACTTCTGGGTGTTTTCTTCAAAATATTGTTATCTTCACAGTAATATTTCATTAATGCTGAATCCATTCTCAACTTCTTATTCTATTGCTGATTCAATCCTAGAGTGTGAAACTCAATCCTAGAGTGTGAAACTGAGTCTCTGATTCTACAGCACTGGGACAGTCTCAGGCTGGCCATATGGGCTAAACTATAGGTATATAGAGAAGTTTAGGGTAGGTGAAGGAAAGAGCAGTGAGACATTTTTTCTCAATAAAAAAGTAACGGAGAGAGAGGTGGGAAAGAGAGGAGTGGCATGGTGACCAGTATCTTCAACCCTCCTGCTTGAGACACCAAGGGATGGCAAATACCATTGGAGGCCCATCATAAGTATGGCAAAAGAGAAGGGTAGGGTCATCCTGCCCTATTTGGACATATTCCAATCATTGTATTGAGGCCTCAATATCTCCTGGTGAGAAGCACAGCCCTTGTTGGCATTTAAGGTAATGAATATGTTTCTAGTCACCATATGGTCATGCTTCAGGTAAGGAATTAAGGCAAAGGAACATTTAGTCACTGTCCCAAGCAAGGGAGCAGTTGATTCACCACTGTCCCAGATACAGACCTGTCTGTACGGTGAATGAGAGCCCTGCTGTACAGAAAAGGAGGGACAGGAAGTGAGAATATGAACCTGTGTTCAGTCCCATGGGGGGGGGGTGTTGCATTGTCTCTTTTTTTTATGGAGTAGCAGCTGCGCTTTATCAATCATTTTGCAAACCTCAGGGAGCAAGTCCTTCAGTCTAACTCCTTCAACCACCCAGTCTCTGTGTATATGCTTCTGACAATCAAATTATCTTGAGGATACTTTATCCTGAGTAGGCAGAAGTGTGTGGGCCTCTAGGAAGTTCATGGAAGACATAGATTATGCCTTTGGTCTTAGGCTCCAGCATTGTTGTACTCACAGTGGGACTTTTCCTAAAATCAATCAGAATAGAAGTCTTCTAGAACATTTACAATGAATTCAACACAGAATTCAACACAAAATTTGCATCCATTTTGTAAGCAGAAAATGATGTGGATGCTTGGAAGAGATATATAAATATGTTTAGGTGTGAGTTAAGGGAGGACATTGCTTTAGAATGAAAGTGTTTTAGATTATATAGCAGAATAAAGACTTTCTCTAAGCAAAAAAAAGGGCATTCATTTATTAGAAATACATGAGTGGGATGTCCAATTAGACATTTTAGATAATATTAAACAAAGCTGGACAGAGACAGATATAGATTTTTGTCACACACAATTATTTCACAGACTCTTGGTATGAATACAAAGCAAAAAATATGTAGAACAAAATATTTATTATTGCACTTGAGATCAGATGACTTATGTAATAGTTCAAAATGAGGTTGGAAGGTAAGAGAGCTTAGCATGAAGAGAATATGAGATTTTGGAAGACTACTTCTTCCAGGGTATGTCTTCAATCTTTGTCCATGATCAAGGTAAGATGCATGATATATTAAACCCAAAGATGTTCCATTCAACCCTAGTTCTCGAATTTGCAGATATAGGGTAACTTTTTATGACAGTTATAATCTTTCCACTTCCGGAAACCTAGAGAGAAAAAAATAGTTAAAGTAAATGGAACTGGTAGGACTTATGTAACTATTGGGATTTATTAAAAATTCTGGATAAATTTCAAAGTCTTTATTATCTGTACCAGTGTTCACTTTCAGTAGAAAGAAATCCATAGAAACGATAATGACAAGATATGTGAGAAAACAATCCCAAATTTAGTCTCCTAGTCCTGAAGGTCAGGGATAGGAATTAGATGTGAGAATAAAAATAGGTATGCTGAGGAGGATCTGTGTCATACCTGAGTTTTGTGTCACAGTTCCACAGTAACCGAAGTCTGGACTGCTGGGGGGATCTTTCTCCCAGGCATGGTAGTTCATCACATCAGTGTTGCTCCATTCCCATCCACCTCCATTATGTTGAAGACCCTATGTTGCCAAAGATGAAGCCATATGAAGCCAATAGATATTTAGTGCTTCTTGTAAATATCCCTTAGGCAACATGATAACCACTAAGAATCATGAGATATGATGTTCTTCCAGATGCTTAACTGGAGCAGCCCTCTGTACAACTCTCCATAGTTCCTTGCTACTACTGCTGGTAATAAAAAAAACTAATAAAATCTAAAAAGCAGTGGAGTCATTGAAAGTAACATTTTACTGGTTAAACAATAATTGGTGTTGCATTCATCAATACCCACTGAAAATCAAAGACAGTCTATACTTTCATAGGATAAAGTTATTATTATCTTCACTTAGAATTTCCTCAGAACAGTATATTCCAAATCTATGATGCTCAGGAAACTGAATCATAAGACCTGTTATGTGAAATTTTCAAAGGCTAGATTAAAGATGGTTAGACTTCAGATTAGAGTATAACTCAGATTTTCAGACAACAGGAATCTTCTTTTCCCATAAATCTCAATGAATCTCTGAGTTCCAGAGAATTTGCTAGGCAAACAGTGAATACAATTGAGTGTCCTGCATGGCAGTTTGTGAGGTAACAGAGACGAATAGGTGACATGGTACCTCTGTGGGGTCATGAAGCCCAATCCAAACATAGGAGTGAAGAATAAAACTATTCTTGATCAGGGCAGACACGAAGGATGCCTCAGACCCAGTGAGTATGGATGCGAGATGTCCTGATGGCCGTTTCTGGCAAGCTATCTGTATAGGAAAAGGACAAATGAGGAAGAACTTGTAGCGGATAGAGCAGAAAGAGGAGAGAGTATGGATTTGTGTAAGAAATCCAAGCAGTTAAAAACCCTCCTCTGATACATAATGAACTTTCCTAAGACCTCTGATTTCAAAGTCAACTCCTTACTTCTGCATCCATCCAGGAAGTGGGTTTTGTATATAAGGCATAGCAGTACGAGAAATAAGCCATAGAGCCTTTTGGACACCTGGTCCGAACATTGGGGTGTTCCTTTTGTATATCTTCACCTGTGGTCAAAGAAATAAAGAGTTAAGCTGGAATAAAATCAAGAACAATAATTATTTGGGGAGGTGTGCTCGATTGGTGTTTGGGTGACACAGAACACTTGACTACCTTTAAATATTCTCGACTCTAAAGAATTTTTTTAATCTTCAACCAGTTCTACTAACTGAGAATATATTTTCCCTTCCCTTCTTCTCTTTCCTTTCCCTTTCTCTTTTCCTTCCCTTCCCTTCCCTTCCCTTCCCTTCCCTTCCCTTCCCTTCCCTTCCCTTCCCATCCCTTCCCTTCCCTTCCCTTCTCTTCCCTTCCCTTCCCTTCCCTTCCCTTCTTCATTCAAAATTCCTATTCTCCACTTTGATCTAATAGTTTCTGTATATGCTCACTATTCCCCCTTACCCATAGTTATTGACCTTTTAAACATTTTTCTTTAAGCCTATTAGTATAAAATACATTAAAATGGGGTATAATCCTTTCCAGTGCTAATGAAGCACTATTATCTATACTACACTAGTTACACTGAAGGAAGGGGTAGTGATTGTGGATTTCAAATTGTTTTATTATGGATGGACGTCTCATAAGATTTCCATGTATCTCCTTCAGAGACTCATATAATTTCCTTGGTTCTTAATATTCATAGGAAACCAAGCACTTAGTAGAGATATCTTACCTTGGACCTGAGATACAAGCATCAGGCAGGAGAGAAACATCCAGAGGGCCATGGGAGGCAACATCTTGCCTGTTTGGGAGGAAGACATTATAGATGACCAGACTCATAAATCTTGAAAGAGATCAACCAGATGCCCCACATCCTTTGGACACCTGTGCATGGCTGAAACATCTGGGGCACCCAGAGTAGGATGGGCCAGCTCAGGTCCCATCCCAAAGGATTCTTGGTAGCTGCTCACTCCCACACTGAAAAATCGCTGGCATGTCTCTTGTAAAATTTTACCAGTGCCTTATTTATCTAATATGTTAACTCTTTATCAAATTAATGCTTGATAAATAATTCCCCCCCAAAAAAAGACACTACAGATCAGCAAAGGAATTGAAGCCAGAGAGAGGGAGTAAAGACCTCTTTATATATATTGTCATTACCTTAAACATAAATGATTATGGTAGCACCCATACCCCTTTAAAAAATTTAAAAAGAATCCGAAAATTTGTACATCCTACTATCCATCAGTCTCCCAGGATCAGTTTTGCTGAATCTCAGAGCTCTCATGTTCTTTGAAGAAAGAAATATTCCTCTATTCCCTCAAATATGTGAGGGAAAATTTCTGCCAAGGGAGTCATCTTCTCTGTTACCACTTACCTGTCTTGCAGGATCTGCTATGGTTCAGAAGACTAGACTTTTATAAAAGTATCTAAGGGAGTGGCACTGAAATGAATAATAGGAATGCAGAAACAGATATTAGATAGGCGTGGCAAGAAATCAAGTAAATTTCTATCATAGGAAGTTTCTTCATACCAAAGGCTAAAGAAATATCTCTGCCACATGTGTTACCTCTGTACCATTAACATGACAGCATTTCCTCATTATAGCTGACATTTGAACTTTCTTCACCCTTGTTATGACTAATGAGAAAAGTGGAGATAGCATTATGACAAAAAACACGATGTTCATATTCAGAAAGAAAAAAAAAGGGACTGCCCCATTGCTGGTGGAGTTTGAATGTTTCCTGAAATCTTGTGAAAAATTAAGGGAGATTAGATATAACTCTGTGGGAGAAAATTGGATTTCTGGGCAATTTTCCAGTTATTCCCTTCAGAAATATCAATAGATTTTCTCTTTTGTTTCTTTAATTTTATGTTGAGCAAAAATTGTTAGTTTAGGAAAAAGAATTTCATGAATCAGAGAAAAATCATAGTTGAGCATTGCTGTTTCAATATTGAAGCAAGCTGAAGGAATAATATTATAATATGTGAACAAATAAGCAAAGGCAAATTTTAAAAAGTAGATTTTCTTTTTTATCATAGTTGTGTGGCAGTCCAAGAAAATAGCTCCTCAGTTCAAGCCATTCCTAAGTTGACAATTTAGTACCTCAGTGTGGCATTCTCAGCTTGAGAGCTGATGAGATAACAGACTTGTTGAGCCTTGCAGGCATTTTATTGAATTTGGACAGTGAAGCTATATTGTACTAAGATGTAATTTGTAGTTTTTCATTGTATTCCTTTTGCTGATATAATATTGGTATCTCAGCATTAACAAATCAGTGCCACAGTCTTTTATACCCTTATCTAGAATACTGTCAAGAAAAAGAGAGAAATCAAAGACTTTTCACCTTCTAATGTTTTTCATGTGTTCAAAGTGATAGATGAAAGGTCTAGAGCACTAACAGTATTATGAAAGCCAGGATGGATCAATAACACTATGGTTCTCCAAGCACTGCCAGAAGTAGTTCCACTTTGCTGGGATTATCCCTTGAGGACTACTGTGGAAGTGTCCCTTATACACTATAGAATACTAATGAGTTTGAGGAGATAAAATAATTTTAGTAAATATAAACACCTTTAATTATTTTATTTATTGACTAAATGGGAAGTCAGACTTTCAAGCATATGGACTATTCAAAGGAAAAGCATTTATGACAGGGACTTATAATTCACTTTTATAGATTGTTTAGTAAATGAAATACATGAACCAATGTCAGTTATTAACATATAGGCATTTTGTTAACATTGTTCAAAAAATCTGACTTGTTAAGTAAATGTTCTAAATCTCCTTTGACATATACTTTATGATATCTTTGGTAATTTAAATAAAAATCATGGTTCTCCTGTGTATTAAAGGCTCTAAAAAGTCAGTTTGAGATTATTTTTAAGTATTTTGATTTATATTGAGCTGTCAGTATCCAAGATTATAGAAAATAGAGACAGATTTAATGTGAAAAAACAGGATTCAATCAAGATTATTCAACTTGCAAATATCCATGAAGAAGGAGTAGAGAAAGAGCTATAGATTAGAAAAGAGGTCATAACTTGCTTGCATGTGGTTGCATGTGGATAATTGTGACTTATTGAAAAATATCATAGAGGCGGACATGTTAATTTATTTTCAAATGTTTGAATATTTGTCTTAAAATATTTGCTAGATTTTTTTGGTTTGTCTTAACAAATATTTGGTTGTAGGATTACTTGTGGCATTGTTAGGGTCTTCTTTTGGCTTGATGCTCAGGAATGTATAGTCAGAGCTTCTTATGTGGAAGGGAATCTGAGGTACTGCATGCAAAGCACATGCCATTTCAGCTTTCTCTTTGGAAAATTTAGAAGCAAAATGCAAAATCCACAAACAAAATGTTAAGGGCATCAAACTTACCAATGTATATAATACATAATGGGAAAGAGTATCTGATCTCATGGACGTCAGAATAGTTCATTAGGAAAAAATATTAATATAATAAAATCTTCCTTATAAAAATCCAAAGAGAAAAGATATAAATAACTTTTAAGAAAAACTTACTCAGAGAAATATATCAATAAATGGCACATAAGGAAATATTTACCATCATAAACAAAAGTACAGCAACTAAAAGGTTTTTAAAAAAGCATTGTCCTTATAAATGAGGAAGAAATTATTCTTTCACTGATCCTATTTTAAAATACCATATTATAAATGACACACTCAGATAAATGGAACATGTAAAAAGTGAAAGAGTTAATAACACTGGAATATTGCATATTTTTTCATATAGATTTTATTGTTTTCTAAGCCAATTTGTTAAAATCAACAAGAAATTTAAGGAAGAATATAGAGAGTTAACATAAAATTTCTAAATGAAAGTTTTATTCCATAAACAAAGAGATCCATGTCTAATAAAGATAATTAGAGACAGTGGTTGATGGATATTGATAATCTGCTGGTGAGAGTGGTGTGGAAAAATTGTCTTCCTGCAGCACTAATTTGTACAATATTATAAATTAAAATGCCTAGATATAGTTTTTAAAATATATCCTTTAATTGGAATAAAATTATAAAATACAAGTGAATATAGTACAAGTGAGGTGATAAAAAGCCTGTCCAATTACAGGAGAGAGCCCAGAAATTTAATTTTGACATATGGAATTTGGAAATACAGAGGATCAGTGCTAATACTCAACAAGGAAGATTAAACTAAAATTACTTAGTTTCACTGATATTCCACTTAAGCAAAATAATAAACTGAAATTTGCCTTCTCAAAATATAAAAATTAACTACTGTATTATCCATCAATTAAAAAATAAATTTTAGAGGAGAGTATTAAGCATAACTAAAATTTGAATTCAGTATCGTCCTTTAACACAAAAGCCAAATTATAAAATAGCGCTAAATATGACTTTTTAAAAATTTAATCACAGTGATATGCACAGTAACAAAGTTTTCATGATTGAATTTCAATCACATAATGTTGCAACGCCCATCCCTTCATCAGTGTACTTTTCCCACCACCAATGGTTCCAGTTTCTCTCCTGTTTCCCCATCCCCTGCCACTTTGGCACTATGCCACGTACTCCCCCCCTCCTTTCCTTTTGCACTTCTTGGTTTACCAATACAGATAATGAAAGATTATCAGGTATAGCCCTTTACCAACTTTCAACACTCTCTTCCTGTCCAAAATGATCATTTCCAACTATTATTATCATGTTGACCCCTTCTCTATTCTAACTAGTATATAGATAGTCTCATACTTCACTGTAGCACTGTCCTCCCATTGTTCATCTATTTGCTCGAGCGGTCAACAGTAACATCTCACAAATTTTGAGACTTGTGGCATGTTGAATACATCACAGGGAGCTTTCCAGGCTTTGCTGTGTGGGCAAAATAATCTTGGTAGCTTGCCGGGCTCTCCGAGAGGGGCAAAGGAATAGATGGAACCTGGGTTGGCCGCGTGCAAGGCAAATGCCCTAACCACTGTGCTATCGCTCCAGTACCGTATCATACTACCTATTTTTTTTATATCCTACAAATGAATGCAGTCTAAATATGAATATTTTATAAAAGGTTGTTGGTAAGGCGTAGAGACATAAAGTGCTTCAGAGAAATAGTTTTCAGATTAGAACTGTTTCATAGGTTTATTTTCAAAACAAGTCTTCTCAGCTATACCATTTGACCTGAGAATTACTTCAAGTTTGACACCTGACACATACGGAAGAGAAACTACCATGCCTCTCTAATTACCAGGAAGAGCTTAAAGTCAGAATCTTACCCGTAATAATAATAATCTTATCAAAAAAATTATGACCTTTCTATATGACAAGGCAAACAATGAATTACTAAACAGCAATTCTGCTTAAAGTTTTACTAATTACTGTTCCCTTTGAGTTCCCAAGTTTTTATTTCATTCCTTATATCAGGATGATATATATATATATGTATATAAAACATTTTTGTTTTATGTATAACATGTTCTGTTGTATAAATTTTATTATGTATATATTATGCAATATAATAAATGTTATATATATAACACTTTTGTCTTCAGACCTCTGATAGATATTTTGAGCCTCTATAGGTATGTACTTAAATTCATCCCCCCCGCCATTTGAGGAGAAGGGCATACCTAGTGGTGCTCAGGCATCACTCCTAGTAATACTGTAATCACTCCTAGGGACCATAGGTTATGCCAGGGAGGGAAATCAAACACTTTCATTCCTGTACTATCTCTCTGGATCCTGTTTTTCCTGTTCTAATTTCAATGAAGAAAAATTAGTTATTTCACAAATGGAGATCCAAGAGTGGAAGAAGAAATATTC